TGGTGAGTCACCTTCCACTGGCAGCTGCATGTGCCTATCGTGTTTGTTGTTTTGCTCTGTTTGTTTGTGTGTGTACTTTTCAAGAGCAGACAGCACTCCATTCACATGTTGTCTTTACCATGTTGTCCCCTTACCTTGGGTTTGGAAATGATCATGTTCATGTTTACGTGAAATTATCCTGGCTGTGAGAACCTCAGGTGAGAACCTGAGGGCTGTAGGGGAAGCCAGAGAACTGTGCATCTGGGGAAAGGTGATACGGCGGTCCAGGTTTGGGAGGAGGTAGAATGCTGCTGATGGAGAGCTAGGCAGTATGGGGGAGCCTCTCCAGCCCTCTACTATTCCCACAACTCTGACTTCCTTGCTGTCTGCAGTCTCTCCAGTTCTCCATCCTCACATGCCCTCTGTGTTCTCTGCTTGTGACCTTCTGATTCTTGTATCTTGTTCTTTTCTTGCATATCCCACCACTTTCTTGCCCACACTGTAACCTGTGGTAATATTCTTCTAATAGTATTGCACCCCAGAAATGGGAGTAGTAGTGCTAGACCACTGGTTTCTCTCTATTATACCTCTCTTCTTAGAAACACACTGTTGTACCTCTCTGTTCCCTGCAGTAGGACATAAGCAACCAGGGTGTGGTCTGGCTCTCTGCCTCATGTAACTGTTAGTTCTTATATTTTGTCAGCATTCATGGACATCCAGCATGGATTTCGTGGTCTGTAGTCAGAGTTGTTTGGTTACATATATTCTTGACTTCTTTTTAAAAAAATATCTTATTTTTTTATTTTATGTGTATGAATGTATTGCCTACATGTATGTAAATGTACCTTTGTTGTGCCAAGGAGAAGTCAGTAGTAAGTACCAGGAGAAGTCAGAAGAGGGTGTCAGATTCCTTGGAACTGGAGTAACAGATGGTTGTTAGCCACAATGTGGGTGCTGGGAATTGAACCTGGGTCCTCTGCAAGAACAATCAGTGCTCTTAACTGCTGAGCCATCTGTCCAGCCCCATTCTTGATTTCTTCAGGCCTTCATTATTCCACCAGTCCCTGACTCATACAATCTCAGCCTTCTCTACTCTGTGCCATGGGACAAGTACTTGTGGCATTGCCTTAGAGAGAGAACACCCCACACAAAGGCACATTCACATCATCCTGTGTGCATACTGTCCAGTCCTGCTTGTCACTTCTGCTGGATCTCTGATGCACTTACCCTCCTTTCCCCACTGCAGTCAGGTGGCCGACACTTTTTCCATTACCGCTGTCCCTCCTCACTGTCCTCCCCACTGCCAGTGTTCCATACCTGGTAGCCACCATCCTTGTTTCTGTGTCATCTAATTCATTTGGCAAGCTACAACCAGGATGACAAAGTGGGTGATGTCACTCTGCCATTAGAGCCGTTCCTGTTTCCTGTCATTCTCTGTGCTCTTTAGGAGCCCCTCTCCCCTTTCCTTTCTGTGTTCCAGGCACACTGGCATCAGGCAATCTAAGCTTCTTATTTTGTTTTTTTGTTTTGCTTTGTTTCTCTTTGAGATTGAAAAGGATTGTGTGAGTGTTTATGTGCACACGTTTGTGAGTGCAGGTGCATATGTGTCATGGTACATGTATGGAGATCAGAGGATAACACTGGGCATCTGTCTTCACCTTCTACCTTGTCTGAGACAGGGTCTCATTGCTGTTCACTGCTGCATTCACCACACTGGCTGACTTGCAAACGTCCAGGGATCCTCCTGTCTCTGCAGCCCTCTCACCTTGGAAGCTCTGGCATTGCAGACACGGGCTACTGTGTCCAGATTTACATGGGTTCTTGGGATTTAAAATCAGATTTTTACTCTTGTGCAGCAAATGCTTTACTCACTGAGCTGTCTTTCCAGCCTGGATTAATATATATATATCTTCCTTCTGGGATCTTCTCTTCATT